TTGTGCTACAGCTTGTGCTACAGCTTGTGCTACATCTTGTGCTACATCTTGTACTACAGCTTGTGCTACAGCTTGTGCTACAGCTTGTGCTACAGCTTGTACTACAGCTTGTGCTACAGCTTGTGCTACAGCTTGTACTACAGCTTGTGCTACAGCTTGTGCTACAGCTTGTACTACAGCTTGTGCTACAGCTTGTACTACAGCTTGTGCTACAGCTTGTACTACAGCTTGTACTACAGCTTGTGCTACATCTTGTGCTACAGATTGTACTACAGCTTGTACTACAGCTTGTGCTACAGTTTTTGATACATCTTGTGCTACAGTTTGTACTACAGTTATTGTTACTAGTTGTGCTATAGCTTGTGCTATAGATTTTGCTACAGCTTGTGCTACAGCTTGTGCTACAGATTTTGCTACATTTCGTGCTACAGCTTGTGCTAAGATTGTACAAAAGTTTGTGAAGGAGGAGGAGAAGGAAGAGGAGGGGGAGGAGGAGGAGGAGGAGAAGGAGAAGGAGGAGGAAGAAGAGGAGGAGGAGGAATAGGAGGAGGAGGAGAACCAGAATGGCGATGATGATTATAACGATTATGATAATGAATAAGAAAAAAAACGCAGAAGAAACGGATCGAGACGAAAAATGACAAAAGTACACAAGGAAGCAGGAACGGAATCGTATTTCTGTCTGTCTCTCTCTCTCTCGCGCGCGCTAATGGTATCGCGAGAAAATCCGTCTGTCGTGAGAAACTCATGAAACTCATGAATTATAACGAATGTCCGCATGAACTACTCGTTTCCTGAAATTCCTTGCTAAAATAATAACTGCTTACGGCGTCACACAAAGCACACAGTAGCCGACGTCACGTTTAAAGCCTAATCAAACCTTGGCAATGCAACTCGCAGAGCGGTGTGACTGACGGGTCAGTAAGACGCAGTTAGGAGAAGGCCTGAGCGTATTTACATTCGCATCTCTATACTTCTGCGAGCGAATTTAAACTCGAAAATTTAAAAGTTAAATAAATTTAAATTTAAAGCGCTCCTGGATGTTTTCGTTCACCTGCCATGTCAATGTTACTGTTATAAATTATATAACGTTGGTTACAATAGACTTTAATTATCCCGGGAGATTCGACCTGTCAACAAGCACCGACAAGAGTGTCCCCGATATGTCTGCATGATGTCTCATTCTTGATTGTTCTAGGTTTAGCGGTAATACGCGCGTTGTTCGTTACAGACAGGGCGTGGCATGGCTAATAAATGGAAATTGTGGTTTCTTTCGGAAAAAATTGCGTCAATCTGAATAGCTTATGTCGTATTAGGAAATCCTGGTTCCTTACAACTAGAATAAACGTCAATTTAACATGTAAAATCGGAAGCTTGGTTTAGAGCGAAAATTTAATCTATTGATACCGTTAGAGAATAATAATAATTAATAATTCTTTTTATTACGTCATTTCGCAGGGATATATTGCAATGCGACGTGGGACACACTACTGTGTTGGCCAGCGACACCTGCCGGCGAAACAGCCACGCAACGATGTCCGCCGTTAAAGGGGCTTGATACATCACGTACGTACTGAAATTGTTATGATTTATATTATATGAGACGTAGTGTTGTTGTTGTTTTTTTTGTTATAATTTTTGCTATAATAAAGTTGCCGCTTAACTTATGTCCACTAAACCCATGTCCACTTTTCTAAATGAAGACGCGTCAGATACAGCTCATTATAAAATCTTTCCCGCAGCATGCGGTGTATATCAACGTCATCATAGTCACTTTTCGGGAAAACTATTACACAGTTTCATACTTTTGGTTAGCTCACGTGTAACCTCGTAACCTAGTAAGTAATAGTCTTCAAAGTCCAAAGGACTATAAGGAAGACGGAGAGACAAGTTGATCAAATCGACAGATTAACACTGCGGATCGCAGTAGAAAAAACCGCAAATTTGCAATTTACTAAATTACAAAAGACGAAGGGAGAGAACTCCAGTACGGAATGACAGAAACAAAGAAGCTAAACTTAAAAGGATCCTTAGAATATCATGATGGCACGTGTCAAAAGCAATGATCACGCTCAGATGATCAACAAACAGGCTTCATCAAGCAAGAGGGAATGCCAGGATGCCATAATGCTAAGATGTAAGATGGCTTACAGATGAGTTTATCTAATGCATCGTTAAACTGGGTAAAGTGAGAGAGAATTATTTTCGGTAAAGTGAGAAAGGAATTAATTCGCTAATGCACACTCGTGCAGGACATGTGGTATGCGTCAATCATTCGCTGGTAGAATGCCTCAGCCGGGTGGGGGCCAATTTCACTTTCGCTATCGATTCTGCTGCTGGCGTTAGTGCAATACCGACGTTCGAACGGACGCAGGAGAGAATCGAACAATCATCAATCAAACAATCATCAAGGGACAATCGAACAATCATCAATTAAACAATCATCAGGAGACAATCAAACAATCATCAATCAAACAATCGAACAATCATCAATCAAACAATCGAACAATCATCAGGAGACAATCGAACAATCATCAATCGAACAATCATCAGGGGACAATCGAACAATCTTCAATCGAACAATGATCAGGGGACAATCGAACAATCATCAATCAAACAATCGAACAATCATCAATCGAACAAACAAACAATCATCAATCGAACAATCGAACAATTATCAATCGAACAATCAAACAATTATTAGGGAACAATCGAACAATCAAACAATTATTAGAGAACAATCGAACAATCATTAGGGAACAATCGCGATCTAGTAATGGGTGACAACATATATATATAACAAGAAAAACGCGCGAGGCGAGAGTGGGTACCATATAAATAATACTAGTGTCTCTAAATATTTTTATGGTGGATACCGTCCTACCATGCTAACACGGCCAGCCATTCGAGTCGCTCTCGTAGCTTTACCGTTCCAGGAAAAGAACCCTGAATCCCTCCCCCAGGATGGGTCCTCTCTTCGCAACACTCTTCTGAACTCGTAACGTTGACTACGTTCGTCTCTGTATCGAACATTCCAATCAGCCGAATATAAATCGAGAGGATGTGTGTGTACGATTGTTCTTATGTTCTTCCTATTGCCGCCTTCAAGTGTTACTGCGTATCGCAAACCTGCCTATATTGGCTCCGGAACGCAATGTCTTCGTTCTAACTTCTAACTGCCCTCGAAGTGTCGTTCTCTTTAAACGTAATAACTCGAGAATTTTAGCTCGCGAGATTCTTTGTGACTTGGAGCTGCGACAAACGACGTGGTCGTGAGATTCATATGCTTCGCGTTGCTGTTGTTCCACGAAAATGCTCAAGAAGTTCAAGTAGGCTTTTATACTCGGCTGTTGTTCTCACACATACGCTCGCACACGCTCGCAGACGCGCGCGCACACACGCGCACGCGCGCACGTATGCACGCACGTATGCACTTACAAACACACGTACATACACACTCACACTCTCGCTCTCTCACACACACATCACACACACACACACACACACACACTCTCTCTCCCTCTCTCTCTCTCGCTCTCTCTCTCTCTCTCTCTCTCCTTCTCTCTCTATACATATATACACATATATGTGTGCGTCAGCAACGAGAGGGAGAGAGGGAGAGAGAGAGAGAGCACGCGCGCGCGCGAGAAAGAGAGATTATGAATAAGACACGGGCTTACATAACGACAGGAAACAATGAACTTTTGCGAAATCCAATTTCACTCGTGATGGAACGCCACAATGCCGATTAAAATTACAAGACAAAAGCAACAACGCCGAAGAATTATCGCCGACGAGCCGACGTCAAGCCACGTGACCTCTTTCATCTTCAACATTGACTCCAGCTGTGAGAGCGACAACCTGCCGCGGTGACCGTAAACGCATTTGCTCGCCGCGTGTGAAAAATCACCAGCAAACTACTCACAGCGAACTGCGATCTCTAGGCACCTCTATATACGAGGGCCAGATTTAGGCATAAGCTAAACAAGATACAGCTTAGGGCCTCACAGTCTGAAGTAATTTCTCTCAAAATCGCTCAAACCTCTCCATTTTTGTTTATTTGTTACAGTTTTATTACGATTATTATTAATTTAATCTAATTAACCTACTGAAGTTAATTAACAACAATTAAAATTAACAAATTAGATCCAATTATTACAAAAAAGATCATTATTCACACTACAGTTTACCCTACAGCTTCCCATACCTTATGGCCTCACCATGTATAATACCCTGTACAGACTGCAAATTTTATCCTACATCAAACTAGTCCGGGCCAGGCGCGCGCTAAATTTTTGCAGCGTGTACTCGCTATCCCGTGTTAAATACGCGCTAGTCCGGACTAATCTGGCCCAGCAGCCCTGTTAATCTCTTTTTTTCTTTCTACGGCTGCAGACTTTGTCTACAAACCGTGCGGGCCTAACGGATCGTGGGCCGGTAAAAGACAAGATGATTACAGTAACGTGAAGGGCTGGACCGACTATACTCAGTGCTACAACCCAGAGATACTGGACGTACTGAACAAGCTACACGCTAGGGACGATGGAGCCGTGAGTATACATAGTGCCGAGCTGCGATGCGGTTATGTGTATATGTGGTTTGTGTGTAGCAAGTTTGTGTGAATTGTGTGTATGAGCAAGAATGTGTGATTTGAGTGTATATTAGAGAAGATGGAGGATTATTTGAGACGTTGTTCCCCCCCCCAAAAAAAAAACACACACACACACATACACACATTAACCTCATGTAGTGTCCACTTGTTTCGCCATCACCGTTCCACCCTTTTGGTCTGCTATTGCACAGGGACATGCCTGTACGTAGCGGCAGTGAAGGGGCAACACGGGTAGAGCTCCCTTCAGTCCTGCCCCACGCACGTGAACGCCACCCAAACAAAAATCACGAAGAACTCCGAATTGGAATACACGCGCGAAATTACGTAGACATGTGTGCATTGATATCGGACGATGCGTGGTCGGGAGAAGGATGTGCTCTGATACAAGGCAAGATGCCGAGGAAAGATGAAGCTGTAGCTTAATTCTAGGGAGGTGTTCTCTAGTTGAGGAGGTCGCCGGGGGAAGGTGTGATCGGGAGGAGGTAATAGCTTCTTCTACGCCACAAAGAATAGGAGGAGGGAGCCAAGAGCAACTATATTGAGTGCTCCCCTTTGGTGAAAGAGAATATCCGCGGAGGGGGGGGGGGCTTCCGCGCAACTCTCGAATAATAATGTTCCACCGACTTTGCGCGCATATAATAGAATTCCTGATACTGTCCTTTCAAAGTTATGCGACCAATAGAGTTTCCAGTCAGTTTTCACCCGGCCTCTTCTTCTATTGTCTCTTCCTCCTCTTCTTTATTTTCTTCTGCCTCTTCCTCTTCCTCTTTTTTTTGTTCTTCTTCTCATCTCTGCACTGATGGAAAGCCTATATTACCGAATACATGTCAACACGTCTCTGTTGTATCCGTGGCCGAAACTTGCCTCTGGCTGATATTGGTGGAAGCGCGTAGTATTACGATTAAGGTTTCACGCAAACCGCCTCCATGCAACATTGACGAACGTTTGGGCACGGGACGTTGTTGAAAAGCGTCGTGGGCAACGCATACGGTTGCATACGCATTCTTTGCATTGGCACAAGCAGATGTTGCTACTAGATTTCAGATCCCCTGTGGGTGTGGTTGGTGTGTGTGTGTGTGTTCTGGGTGCCGTGTCGTGTGACGTGGCGTGTGCGGTGGTGTGCGTGTCGTTGTGCGTGTGCGTGGGTTGTGCGTGGTGCGTGTGCCGCGTGTGCGTGTGCGTGTGCGTGGCGTGTGCCGTGTGCGTGTGCGTGACGTGATGTGTGTGTGTGTGTGAAGAGCTTCGAGGCTTCTGCTTCGGCAAGTAACGATTTATGGTCGCTTTGTGATCATCTGCACCTTAAGTCATCTATATGGAGTACATGAGAAGATATCCGAGATGTTCTCGTAGGGACGAAACCACCCACGTCGAGCGCACCGACCAACGAAAGAGTTACGTAGTGGAGAAGGAAGAATATGTAAACATCTGTAAACACAGGAGAGTGCTAATGTAGAGCATATTTATATATTATAGTATCAGATATATATAGCATATATTTAACATATATCTATTAGTAGAAAACGACAAGTAGGGGAAGGACGGAGCGGGGTGACAGAATATCGCATGGGAAGTCAAGAGGATAAAGATGAGGCAATGAAAGTCGGGAGTTGTCAATACCTTCCCCTGGTTTTATATACGCTGTGTATGCCGTCTGTCCACCAGCACTGTTAGCAAGTAATGTCGTTAAGAACAACACGACGCTTACGCAGTCTTTCTCCTTGTCCACCCCTCGTTTTTCCCGCTCCTCCGCTCCCTCCACCCCCGACTTTCCCCTCCCTTCCCTCCGTCCTAGACACGTCCCCCCTCCCTCCTGGCCTGCCCCGCGTCCCGTCAACTCACCTTCTCCTCCCTTCTCCCTACTGTTCCCTCACCTCACATTCTTTTCCCTCCTTCTTCTCTCCCATCCTGTCCTCCCCTCCGTTCGACGCGTCAAAATGCTAAACCGTTTCTTAGAGGGCAAGGAAAGCCTCCTCAACATCTCATACTCGGCGGCGAAAATTTCTCTCTGCGCCTCTCCAAATGCCATCGCCAGGTGTTCCCGAGATTAGCATCCACGTTGATTTTAATTTGTAATTACGATTTAGCAATAATGCAACTGAGTAAAGCAAACTCGAGCTAATGATTAATGTACCCGACGTAACTGCGCCGAGAAGAATCAACGTAATATTTTTTTAATATTTCGATTTTTTTTCGTATGCCTTGCGCGCTTACATAACCGCATATAATTTAATACGTGGCTTGCTATATATATATATAATATATATATATATATTATATTATATATATAATAAATAACTAAATAATATATATTATATATATATCATAAATATATTACACTATTGTGTGTGTATGGTGTGTGTGTGTGTATGTGTGTGTGTGTGTGTGTGTGTGTGTGTGTGTGTGTGTGTGTGTGTGTGTGTGTGTATATATACGCTGATGGATAATTGGTTATGGGTGAATGGCTGCTACAGTAGTCGCCTGGGAGCGTTTTTACGCGTCATCTATTCATCGTACACACACCTGGACTTGACAGGTGAAATTCAGCCGACCGTCTAATTCAAGTCTGGACATCAAAACCGTGATTATGATTTCTCCGATATATATATAGAGAGAAAAATCACGCGTCAAAACTGTGTTTATGATTTCTCCGATAGAAAGGGGAAAAAATCACGCTTTTTCGTTCTTTCCTTCAAGCAAAGTAACATTTCGTCTAATTAGCGGTGTATGCCCCGTCTGACCTGTGCCAGTAGAGAAAAGAACGTTATTCTACGTTGTCGGGTTCTATAGGTGAAACGTATCAATTAATTAAAACACGTTTTTTAACACGGCGAGAGACGTATTTTAGCGATTTCCCTAATCAACGCCACTCTCGTCTCGTTTACATCCGGTTATCCTTTCTTGTCGCACGCGCACATTGCAATGTTAATTATTATGAGAGCAACGTTAATTGAAGCATCCCGCATGTCAACTGCGCACTATGTTCGTATCGATTTTTTTGTCGTTCGTAAAATCCTTTCTCTTATAAAACTAGATTAAATTCACTGCGCAATAAAGAAGCGAAGCGCAAAATGTTGAATCGACTCTGGCATTTGTGTTGAGCATAGCAGCAAGACAACTAAAGCTAATGCAATTTGAAATATATCGGCAGTGATACGGCAATAGTATCTCCCCTGCTGCTATTCGCCATATTAGAATGCTCCAACTAACTTCGTTAAAACTGTGAAGCAACGTAAATAATTATAATTCTCGTTATATTACGCATGAACTGTTTAGCTTGAGTCGGCAACTCGACAACAGCGTGCGTGTGTGTGATCACTTTTTCGATCTTTTCCTCCTGCACAATCTTTTCTTCCTGCAAATTTTTTCCTCCTGCACGATATTTTCGTCTTGCACATTTCTTCTTCTTGCACAATCTATTCTTCTTGCACAATCGTTTCTTATTACACAAGCTTTTCTTCCTGCACAATCTATTCTTCCTGCACAATCTGCAGTCGGTGACGCGTTATATAGCACGAGCGCGGTGCTTGACGATGCGTGGCTGAGGTGACACGTACGTGCGTGCGTGTGTCCGTGTGTGCGTGCGTGCGTGTGTGCGTGTGTCCGTGTGTGCGTGCGTGCGGTCGTGTGCGCGTGCGTGCGGACGGGCGTGCCTGCTCGCAGCGGGTATATTAGGGCGCAGACCGAGATAGAATAGACGTATTAGTGGTTATTAATTTAGAGAAATGTTATTGCACATCTGTGGGAGATGGAAGAGAGAGGGAGAGGGAGGGGGAGAGATGAGGAATAGAGGGGGCAGAGATAGAAGGGGAGAGCGAGTGGGCGAGAGACAGGGGGAGCGAGAGGGAGGGAGAGATAGAGAACGAAAGTTAGAAAGAAAGTGAGCGAGAAAGAGAGAGAGAGAAAAAGAGGATGTGAGAGCGAGAGGCGGAGCTAGAGCAGAGAGAGAGAGAGAGAGAGAGCAGAGAGAGAGAGAGAGAGAGCGAGGGCAGAGAAGAGAGAGAGAGAGAGAGAGAGAGAGAGAGAGAGAGAGAGGCGCGCGCTTGCAAGCAAGCGAGCGAGTGAGAGAGAGCGCGCGTGGAAAGAGAGAGAGAAGAGAGAGAGAGAGAAATCTTGGCCGGGAGAATTACGCCGTGTGTAAAAAAGACAAATGCGACAACTATTCAAGCAAATACTAATTTGCCATTCGGTGTTGGCGCGCGTCGCTCTGATCAGAAACATGCCCAATCCACGACATTTCAGTGATGAGAGCAAAAAATGCCGCGGTATTTTTCCGCAGTAGTATTTTTCACCGCATCAGTCGGTATAGTAGAACAGCGCGTAGCTGGATCACGCGGCTATTGGTACGTGCAGGCAAACATGCGTAAGTCTTGTGTCTAGAGAACAGGCTCGGGATCGGTCAAAGATATTAGCTGACCGTGTGCAGATCTGTTAGTATCATCTGACTTGGTGGCCCGCGGGATACGACAGCAATCGCATGATCATTCTGCTTCACTTTCCGAGCTCCCCGAAACGTTCTCTGGACGATCCGAATGTCCTCTGCACATGGTTTTATCGCAGAAATCGGGAATACTCCGCCGCCAACAGAGGGCCGCAGATCGCCGAACGCACCCAGGGCCCGGCAAGGGGCCCACGCTGGGGCAGACCACACCCCCGCTACGCCCAGAGCACGCTACTGACACCAACGGCGCACAAAAAACATAGGCACGCAATCACGGCAGTGCCGACCACGCCGAAAGCCGGCGGCCAATGACCTTTGGATCTCCTTCGGCCCTGGGCGGGTCGTCTGGGCGGCGGCACCGGACCGAACCTGGTCATAAACCGGTTAAACCGGCTCGTTAAAATGCACAGTGAACCCCTCACAGCAGAACCACTTGGCTGACCAGTTTTTGCTAAATTTTGTTATTATTTACCCTGATAAAATGTTCATGACGTAACGCAGGGTGTTCACATAATGACATTATGGAACACGCCCGGTTAATGAAATTTTATCAGAGTAAATAATAACAAAATTTAGCAAAAACTGCTCAGCCAAGTGTTCGCTGATGAGAGGTTTCACTGTGGCATAGAGCTTCGTTTACCTGTATGACCACAGTCGTTACGTTCGCCGCCTCGCTAACACTAACTACGCCCATTATGCGGAGCAGTTAGGTTAACAATAACATATGCAAGGAGGGTAAATAATCAGTTCAGCTCAGATGGGATATGCGTG